AAAGTTGCTCAAAATGATGTTTTTAGCTTAGCCATGTATCAAGTGTCCATTGATATGGATTATATCAAGCATTGGTTGAAGAAAGTTCATATAAAGGCCATTTTAATGAATTAAAAGGTGAAAATTCAAAATAATTGGAAATAACATGTTTTCAAGTCAAGTTTGTGGTCATTTTGAATGGAATTGATGTTCTAAAGAGATTGGCATTATCACATTTTTTATTTGAAGTCCATAACATGGCCATTTAGAAGGTTGCTTCACGAGTAAGAAACACATCCAACACACTCCATGCATTGAAATCAAGGGAGGAGAACCACTTCATTACATTCCACAAGGGTTAAGTGAATCATTTGGACTGAGTTTGGAGAATTTACAAGGGTAGAATGTGCATACCAACATTGAATTTTTGGAAGAGAGTGAAAATCCAAAATCCACAAATGGGCTTGGTTTGGGCCTCCAACTTGTTGAAACAGAATATAAATAAGATTTGGATCAGTTTAGGAAGCTTCTAGTGCCAAAATTCGTGGAGAAGCCATTGAAGCAAAGTGAAGAAGAAAGCTTGAAATTGAGATTTCGTTTTGGAGAATCAAAGGTTTTCAGCAGGAATTGATCATCAAGAATCATTCACCATTACTCACTGAAGGTTTCTGCACGATTTGGAAGAAAATTGAAGCCTGAATCCATTGCAATCGAAGTTCAAAGCCAGGTTTTAACTTCTTGAAATTTCTCTCTGTTTATGTATTTTTAATGAATTAGAAGCATGCGGTCAGGTTCTACTTAGGATGTAGATGGATTCTAGATGATTAATTTGAACATTAGTGACAATTTAGGGATGATGCCATTTTCGGTTGAGATTGATATCTTGCGATCCTTGCGTTTCTAGCATGAATGAGTAATGTAGTTAATTTCCTGGTGAAATTTAGAGCAAGTTTCATTTAGGAATCGTGGCGAATGGTTGAGTGTAGAGGTATTTAGGATTGTGCAGGGGTGACCGGAGAAGTCTCCGGCGACGGCTGGTTCGCGCGCGTAGGTTTCAGACTTGCAGAATTTTCAAAAGGTTGAAGACGAAATCTACATCGTCCGTGCGTGATGAAGACTTTGACTCAGGCTTCCATCCAAGCGTTCACCATGAGCCACGTACCCCCCCCCCCCTTAATGCGCACCGTTTTGATAAATGGATTACCCAGCCTTGTTTCTTCGCTGCAGGAATCAAGAGGAAGCGAGTTCGAATCCTCGCGTGTACTTCTTTTTTCTTTTAATTTGTGAACTGAAGTGAACATGGTGAATTAACATTGCGTTCGACTTCAGTGCTTGTATGCTATCACCACCCCACCACCAGGCCCAATGTGATTTTACAACGTGAAATCCTTACTTAGTGCACCCCTCCCTGGCGTATTTTTCTTGACTGAGTTGAGACTCAGATGGGCCTAGCGCCCTTGTTGCTCCTAACACCCCCATTTTCTGGGCCCAAGCGAACTAAGCTAGTTTGCACTGCTGACGACACCCCTCCCCTTTATTTCTCTTATTTTCAATTCTTTTTAATTGTTGTTTTCATGTTGTTAGAAATTAATTCACAAAAAATAGTAAAAATTAATATTAAATTCTGAGAAAAATTGTGGATACAATTTAAGATGTTTAGTATTTTGTCATGATTTTATTTTCCATTTTTCATGCATTTTCATTTTATTGCATATTTTCTAGTTTAATATGTGTTTAATGGTGAAATAATAATGTTGTGATTTTGCCCATTTTCTTTCTCACTCATGGTTCTGAATTTGATCTTGGACTTTTGTATGTTGTTTGTGTACATATTGATGTTGCCTTGTGATTTTTATCATGATTTTTAGATGATTTTAAATATGCTTTTAGTATAGTTGTTTATGAGTGATTTTTAGTGGATCTCTTTAGTGATACCTTTCAACTTAGGATTTTATTAAAGGACTTAGAGATTGAATTAGGTCCTGATTTTTTAACTGTAGATCATTAACAAATGCATGTTCCCATAGAAAAATAATTAGATTTTTAGAATGTGTTTTGATATTTTAGATAGAATATTCAAGTTGATTGTTCATTTGGTGTTTCAATTTTGGTGATTGTTTGGAATGGACTCAAAGTGGGCTTTCCTTGCATAGTGGGCTTCTGGTTCCTATTGGAGGATATCATGGACATGATGAAGCTTGTATGGAGTGGCTGGTGGAGCCTGGATTGGAGGTTTTCTTTCCTTTTTGTTTACTTTTTGTAGCTTGTAAGATTAGGGCTTTAGGAGAGAGCTTTAGAAATAGTTTTTTCGTCAAATAATGGTTGGTTTCATTCTCATTCCATTCCCATCCTATGATTCAAAGTCCTCATGTTAAAAGTCTCATCTCTCCTTAGGAGGGATGTGTGACATTTACAATGAGTAGAACTTTTGAGGATGCCTTTCTCTGATGACTGGTTGAGTGTCAGATGAGATTCCTTTGGTTTCCTTTTCTGCTTCCCATCATCAAATACTCATCTTGTTGATTCCTTTCCTTGGTGAAGTGCATTGTTAAAGCATGAAGGTGGAGTAACTCTTTCCTTCTCTTGAAGATGGTGGACTTGTAGAACAGTTACAGACTGTGGACTGGATTGCTGTCAGAAGATTGCTTTGCTGTGAAGCTGTTGATTTGCTTTCTTGACTGTCTGTTTTCTTCTTGTACAACTGTATTGATGTGACTTGATTGGTGTGATGCATTTAGATTAGGTCATGTAGTTGAATAAGACTAAGAGCATCCTAAGGTTTGAGTTTCTCCCCTTGCTTGTATTGCATTAGAGGTTGAGTTTCTCCCTCTACTTGTATTTTTACTGTGTGGCTTTGCTTGCTGGTATTCGGTAGAGCTCCGCTCCCTTGCCTGTGTGGTTTGTGGTCTGTTTGATTGCATCTATTTTCTTCTATTATTTTTGCAGTTATTCATACTTGGCTTGAGGTTGAGATGAGCTTGTGGAGGCTTATGCCCCACACATATTTCCTCCCTCACTTGCATTGCATGCATTTTACTGTATATCTGTTTACTGTTTAAGCTGATGATTTATCTGTTTCTGTTTACCATTGACATGATCCCCTAGGAATCTCACTTCCTTTGATAAGGAAGTGATGATTAGAACTTTAGGTTGAAACCTATGCATGATAACTTCTAGGAGATCCCTGTTTCAAACCTCAACCATAGGATGAATCCTTGGCATGACAACTGTTAGGACTTGATAGTCTCCCCGTAGTTGTCTCTCTCTCTTCTCATCTCAAAACAAATTAAAATACAGTAATAAAGGTTAACTGACGTCGTACGTTACGAGCCTTAAGCTACTTGAGAAAGTGTTGTTGAAGGGTCACTCTTCAATAGTCTGGATGTTTAGTATGGTACCCTTAGGGTGACATGCGACGCATTCACTCTCAAGTCATAATCTCTAGTGCGATATTAGTTGCAGACAACCATAAAAAACACTTCTTCCGTAAAAGACATAAAACAAACTTCAAACCTTTTTGCCTCGTGGGCCCGTAATTCAAAGGAAGCTTTTCTGAAGAAAAGAGTGTCGTTAACTCCCAGTTCTACCGCAAACGGTAACGCTTAAGTCTCTGGGGGTCGAGCTGCGTACACCAAACTGTTGGAACTGTTTGAAAACAGATGAATCTGAATTCCTGTAATCCGTATTATCCCGAACTACGTAAGCTCTGATCTCTCATACCTGTTGAGAGTACGTAGGCACAATACTGACGTATTGGCGAACCACCTTCCCCCGTAACCCGTAGTTAGGCGAACTACGTTGACTCTGATTTCTCATTCTCTGATGGGAATACGTAGGCATAAAGTGCGACGCTTTGCCGAGTCATTTTCTTTCCTTTTCAGACCAGCCTTCATAGGTAGATAGTAAATAAACCCGTCAGATAAACACAACAAGCGTGGATCCCATCGAGTACGATAGACGTGAGGAGTGCTAATACATTCCCCTTGCGTAACCGACTCCCGAATCCAGACAATGGTTGCGATGACCTTGTCTTATACCTTTTCGTCAGGTTTTTCTGATCGTTTCCTTTCCCGTTCTGAAGGATAAATAACGAAAGGTGACGACTCTTCTGTTTTGCCGGCACCTTATTTTCGCGGTAGCGACAGAGTCACTAATGAAAGTTATGTCTTGTTGTCATGCCACATCAGCCCAGTTAACGTTTTTTCAAACAAGTTAACCGAAAAAATTTAGTTGGCTAACAGAACCAAAATAATATCAGACATCACAAAAAGCCAAATTACTGCCACCCAGTGTAGCGCAAAAGGTAAAACTCAATTTTATATAAAATAAGAGAGAAAAATAGACACTTGTAATAATTTTACACTGTCAATCAATCATCGACATGCATCCCACCACATCATACTTTGATTTTAAAATTATGTTGATAATATGACAAATTAATGAACTTCTATTGCATGATAGTGCAAAACTATTTTACAATGCCAATCCACTACCTTTGATCTCTAAAATAAACACAAGGACAATACAAAGCCAAAATATTTTGTTGCTTGTGGACAAAAAGGATAAATAAATTAATAAAATCCTCATAAGTATAATACTTAGTCTTCTTCCCTATCCGTGAACGCAGTGAAGATTAAAAAAAAAATCAAAACACCCACATACATCATGAACATCGCATTGAAATCTGAGCATCCATCTAACATTTTTCTATATATTGAAACGAGATGTAAAACAGATTGAACGATTACTACAATATCCTAAAGAAACTTAGTTTTAACTAGAGTACTTCATAATGAGCTCAAACACTAGTTGAAAGTACTTTGGGAGACAGATACATGAGGAACAAACTGCATATCACATAGCTGTATAGGATCAATCGATTACTATTTAAGGCAATCTATGAAGCATCGGTTGCTCCACTCTATTCTGCGGTGCAATCGCGCTACAAAAAGAACTCGGTAGAAGTTACATCAATTGACTGATCTTTTACTTGGGTGATGAGAGAAATAACAGGAATAACCTCAATCGATCTTCACTGATGAGAACAAGTAGTGCACAAAGTAGAATGACATAAGAAAACCAATGGTGCCAGTAGACAACATGATTGCAATTGCCATGAGTAGTGAATAACCTAGGTAAAGGGTAGCTGAGACAGGTCCACTCAAGCTCTGCAGGTCAAAAACCAAGTAGTTGATGGAGTACAAGAAGACATAAAGAGCAACAGAACCTGATGCGTAGAATGCCTTCCACCACCAACGCCAATCTTCCACACACAGATGCATATATGTGAGGACCACCGATACTTCAGCGCAAACAACAATCAGCAATAGAAGAACAACCAACAGGAATCCAAACACATAATAGAACCTCCCAAGCCAGATACTGGAAAGGATAAAGAAAAGCTCGATGAAGAGGGTTCCAAATGGAAGAGTTCCAGCACCAAGAACAAGAAGCCATGATGGATATTTCCGTGCAGGAATTTCCCTTGGAATTTGATTGGTCCGTACAGGAAATTCGATTGGCTCTCCTTTTGTCCCCATAAACCCTCCAATAAGGGTCAGAGGTACTGAAATACAGAACCAGAGGAAGAAGAGCTCAAAATACAAGGAAATGGGTATAGCACCAGTACTTTTGCTGTTCCATAGAATAAAATTGAGCACAGTAAGGATAATGAAAGCAATGCCGGGAAAAAAACATGCAGCAGACCAAGAAATTGATCTCCACCCTTCTGGCGTTCCCTTAATGGTCCTCCAAAGACGTACACTGACATAGCCAGCAGCAATTCCCAGGATAAGATATAAAATGATCATCCCTGTTAGCAGCATTCCTCGGGATGCTGGAGACATGAAACCAAGTGCTGCAAAAACAATAGTGACAGCAGCCATTCCAAGAATCTGAACCCCGTCTCCAACCATCACACAGAGAAGCTTTGAGCAATCAGGCTCCCTAAATACATCGCCCACAACAAGTTTCCACCCAGAAAGCTCCTCGTTCATCTGAGCTTGTGCCTCTTTGTCCAATTCCTCGTATCTTGTCAAATCCCTTCTGACAGTTCTTAAGAAAATGACAAAAACAATGCCAGCTAGAAAAAAAATAACCATTAGGGAATTTAGGATCGAAAACCAATGAACTCGGGAACCCTCCATTTTCAAATAAGCATCCCAACGCGATGGCCATCTTATATCACTTTTCACAAATTCAACCTCGTATGTGAATGATATCCTTTCTTGCTCTTTTATTGTCTGATACTTGTCAAGGTCATTTGGGCAGCTTACAGAAGAGATGTTATCATACATTTTGTGCTTTGTCATGGCTTCAGGATCATATTTAATACTACAAGGGACAACATGAAAACCAACTATTTCATACCCAGATGCCTTCTTCTTGTCAGCTTCAGAAATAATGCCCAAACCCTCCTCCCCGGTCCCAATAATTTCAACCCCTCTTCCTTCATATTCATGAACCAATACAGTGAATTTCAGGTGGTTAATGATGTAATCTACACTTCCATCAGTTGGAGTGTACCCAACAGGGAACCCGGTCCACTGGATTTTAACCCCATTTTGGCTAGTATACCTCATAACTGGCAAGTTGTCAAGGATCATATTCACTTGATACAGATTACGAGTTCGTTGTTTGAGTAGCTTTACTTCATGTTCATTCAGCGGTGATGTTGTACAGAGGTATAGAGTCTCATTTACATTCATCCGAAATCGGTATGGAGAATTATCAATCTGATCTCCCATAAGAAGTTCTCCAAGATTCTCAGCACTTTTCTTTATCCCGCCAGGGGGCTGGCAGTATGGGAGGCTGTAGTAAGAGAAGGGAAGCTCGGTTTCAATTGAAGTCAACGAATTGACTTTGGCATTTATATATTCTCCATTGGAATAAGTATGCATGTAGCTTCCAGGAAGATAAAAACCATTGCCAACCTCAGCAAAGACAATGAAAGAAAATAAAACCCAGTAGATGAAGGGTTTTCTCAGAGTTGGTAACTCCATTTCCTTGAACGTAGGACAACAGCAGATGTGGAAAAGTTTTCTGTGAATCTAGGCTTACTCCAACAGTGATATCAAATCTACATAAGAGCAAAAATCACAACATCAGCTGCCATAGCAGTTTTAAAACAATAAAAAGAAAATAAGTAAATAATCAACTACGCCCTTGAAATATTTACTGCCTGTATTAGTCCTCAAATCCCCTTATTGTATATTATTTCAGTCAAATTAGTCTTCACATAGGGTATTATATTATCGATATTTAGCATATTCTGTGTTATTAATGGACCAATATAAACTAATATGAACAATGTTGGTAACATTTAAAGTTTTAAGAATTAACATGAACAGAAGTGCGTTCAATACCAAATTTCCATGAGTAAAAATCAACATTAAAAGCCAAAGCTAATTTTTATTAAAAAACATAAACATATAAATGGGTCTTTGATCTAATCGGTGGCTCACTAGTTAATTGCATGACTCGCTGTATAGTAGTATTAGATAATTATATAGATAATATATGATACTACTATATTCTCAAAATTATAGTGTGGTATAGTGGCTGAGTATCCAAGCCCACACAAACATAACCGTAAACAATTTTTTTGTCTTTTACCAAGAGCCACCGTGCACAACAAACATACCACCCCTGCTATTTTTTAACAAGTGTATTTCTCTGTCTCTTTTTTCCAGTTGCATCTCCTTCCCATGAAGCACTTTCTCCTCTTCAATATGTGCACGACTAGTCTTCTTTGCATTAAATTGTTTGACTATGGCAGAGCTTTGGTGCAAGGAGCATGGCAAGATGATATCACAATGAATGTTTCTTTTTTCACTGCCAGATCTTCTAGGACAGTTCTAATTGGTTTTACAGCTTAACCACCAGGTTGATGACAATGACATAATCAGGGTTTTAAAAAACAGCTGTGGTCACGTTAAGGCTTTCGTGATTCCGGTCGATACAGTGATTGCGGCCATCGAGTGTGAATTAACCACAATTTGTTTTTTAACATATATAACGGTGATAACTGCCGAAACTGGATTGTCCGTCCGTTTACGCAATCGTGGACCGTTTTTTAAAACCTTGGACATAATCATAGATCAAATGCGTTCAATTAACTGGCCTAGTTATAATGACACTATACAGCATCATTCAAATTACTTCCTAACCAATTGAATATAAACTTAAAGTCTAATTTTGTCAATACCTTGGGCACTGACTCTAACATTAAATCTACTTTCAAAAACCAAATTCATAGACCATTAGCATATTTTTCATCATTCAAAAACTAATCCTAAAGACATTGCAGTCTTAGCGATTAATTTGACTAATTGCATAAAAAACAAAACCCCCCAAAGTACAAAATCGAAGGTTTCAAATCAGATCCATTTGTCCTAATGCACAAGTGAAATAAGAACAAAACAGATCAACTAGAAAGAAAACAAAAACCAGGAGCAGATCCTCAGTAAACTAAATTAGGGTACCCTACTCACATCGAATAATACGATAATCAGTACCGGAAACAGCACCACAAAAAGTAACCACGAAAAACCAAAGGAAAATCTACCCAGTATAAACAATACCCAAAGTAACAAATCAATGAAAAGGAAAGCATGAGATCAAGGCACGACGTCGTTTCACCGCTAATAGAGCTACATTTGAGAGAGAGACTCACCGTGGGTTTTTCGCGATAAATCCAATGAAAGAGAATGAAGTGGGAGATAGATCAATCGAAACTCAGCTCAATGCCAAAGACGAGGATTTTGTACTTTTGGGTGGGAGAGAGCAAGAAATGAACCAAGAGAGGAAGATCGAGAATCTGAAATGCGTTGGTTAGAATGAGCATTCACCAAATGGTATTGGATTGATTTTTTTTTTTTTTTGTGAAGATTGGATTTGGTTGGGTTGGGTTAATTTGCTACGGGTCAAGCCCGCTTTTATGGCAAGGGTATTTCTTTAGAGAGTTGTTCTTTCCACCCTTACACTTATATGTGCATCTCATACTCTTAAAATTAAAACTATCTTCACGTGTTTAAAGATGTATATTTTCAGACATATTTAAATTACACTAGAATACGTTCATTCTATTTTACTAAAAAAATTGTATGCATCTCTAAACACACTCAACACGTTCAAATAAAATATTAAAGTAACTAATACACCATGTTCAATCATTTTTATTTTTTAATTTTTTATTAACTTTTAAAAAGTATTTTGAATAAACTTCATAATTATTTTTATTTATTTATTAACTACTTTTTAAGTTAATTGAATATTAGATAGTTTAATAGAATATACTATTATCATTCACAAATTCAAAATAATATGAATATTATCTATTGAATCTAATACCAAATTCCTCTTATGGAAAAAAGGATATAAACTTTATGGAAAATAGTTAATCTACAATAACTCTATCAACGAGAAAGATTCTTGAATAATAACGAGGGTGAAGTTTAAATTAACAATTGTTTCAAATGAACTTCTAAACTGCAGCCAAGACTTATCTAAAAAAATCATCTGAAGATACATCTTCGAACACGTCTAATTTTTTTGTAAAATAAGGGTGGCTCAACAGTTTGTGTTAAAGTGTGTGTAAGAAATGTGTGTTCGAAGGGTGGGTCAACAATTTGTGCTCAAATATATGTAAAAAAAAAAGATATGTCCAAAGATGCATCTCCGAACGCTATGGGCATTTGAGAAATTTGACAGTGGTGAGAGAGAACACATAAGTGTGGAAAGAACAATTTCCTTACTTTATCCACCTTATACAATGAGGCTGAAGGAACTGAAAACTTGAATGTACCCTTCCATGTTTCACAGATATATCTTTGGATGCGCCTAAATTACACACACGTCTGTACTTTGTGAGTGAAACATCTTATTTTACCTAAATTTAGTCTGGATATGCATCTCTGGAATATTCTAGAGATGCACTTTTGTAACCTACTATTTGGTTGTAATATTGTAGTGGAAGCCACATGTTTAGGATGACATTTGAAATAATTGATTACTCGAAATATCATTGAACTAGAGAGAAAAAAACACATAATAAGTTATTATTTATTAACAAAGACATTCTGCATAAGAGACTATAATAAATGCTTCCAAATTTTAAGACTTCATCCCGGGAACATGGTTAGATTTTAGGCATGCGGTGATGCATATTCAGGGAGAGATGCATATTTTAGGGATAAAAGGAACTCAACAGATATTGCAAATGACACTAAAAGCTTGTGTGTGTGTGTGTGTGTGTGTGTGTGTGTGTATGTGTGTGTGTGTGTGTGTGTGTGTGTGTGTGTGTGTGTGTGTGTGTGTGTGTGTGTGTGTGTGTTTGCAAAAGTGAAAATTGAGGAGGAATAAACCTGAAAAGTGAAATACGAGAACAGTGGTGTCAAGTAGAAGGAGTCAGTAATGAGAATTTTGTTGATGGGCAAAAAAGTTGTTGAGTCTGGAGTTTTGCTCTAGGTTTTTAGGGGATTTTTTTTGAAAGAGTTCTTGTCATCAATTAGTAATATACTTTTCATATTTCCATGCATTGGGGTCCAATCATAACGTAACATGAACAAACGATTAATAGGTTACAAAAGTGCATCTCCAAAATATTCTAGAGATGTATTTCTGGATTAAATTTGGAAAAAAATGGGGTGGCTCACACACGAAGTATTGAAGCGTGTGTATTATAGGTGCTTCCAAAAATACATTTCCATAATTTAGGGGCATTTTTGGTTTTTCACTATGGTGAACTAGCACCTCATGGGATGGATAAAGTAACATCTATCTAATAAAGGGATTGCTTTTCACATCATAAGTCGTTGATAATCACTCTATGAAAGTCTTTAAAATGCCCTTACGAATTCGGAAGTGCATTTCCAAACACACCCATTTCATACCAAAACACGTCCTAAACCCTTATTTCCCCAAAATTTAGTCCAAAATACATTTCCAAACACATCCCATCAAGGATTTTTCTTATTTAACTACTCACTAACATATCCAGATGTGCACTTCCGGATTTGTGAAGCGGGAATTTGAAAAAATGTCACATTTGCATGTCAGTAACAAATCCTTAAGTATATTTCCAAATTTGTCAAGCAGAAAATTTAATAATAAGACGTTCATGTTTGCCTCATTATTGATCAAAAAATATCATTTTTGTTCAAATTCTATCAAATCCTCCTTCCACACACAATCAAATTTTCTAATTCAAAATAATATTTCTCTATTTTTTTCATATCAAAAGGAGTAAAAGAAGTTGGAATTTAAGGTAATGTGCATGTATTACTGTTGCACCCCAAAATTTGCCTAACTTTTTTCTTTAACTGGTTTATGTTTCATTGCATTATTCTAGCACTTGCATTGCATATCATTATCCATGTTGCAAGGGATCAAGTGTGATTTATATCAAGAGGAGCCTATCCAAAGGTTTTGTTCAAGCTTGAGAGGTCATCCAAGTCATCAGAACGTGGTTTATATCCTTTGAGAGTGTGGATGGTTGTATGTGGTTCATCTTCTAACTTGGGGGCCAATTGAAGACCATCAGTGGGTTATGAAGTCTTGATCATGGATAGGGTATATGGATAGAGCTCATGGAGTGCCTTGAGGGTCATGGTGGAGTTCATTCAAGTGTTTATGCTAGGTGTGAACCGCTGCAGTTGAAGATGTTGCAATTAGGGTTTTCATCTGGTCAACCCTAAGTCAACTGTGCAATTGAAGGAGTTCAAAGCTTATTTCTAAGTCATGGTGGTCATGGAATGTTATGTTGAAGCATTTGAGATGTTGTTTCAAGACCCAATCAAGAAGAATCAAGAGTGTGAGAAGTTGCTAAATTAGGGTTCTCAGTGTAAAATCCCCTGTTTAGTGCCTAACTTCAAGACCACCTAAGTCAAGATAAAAGTCTCACATGACTTTGGCTCAAACATGAGACTTGTAGAGCATATTCATACCTTTAATTTGAGCACTAGAAGTCCTCCATTGGATTTATAGAACTCCAGTTATGAGC